TGCTGCAGCTTAGCTTTTTAGTTTCGAGCTGCTTTTGCATCGCGAACGAGCTATCAGGAGCGTCTGCGGAACCCTACTACCCTACTATCCTACTTTAATATGCTATCTCGCTACTATTTTGTTACGTTTACATAGAAAAATGTATTCTGTTGAAACACAAACACTTATTTGAAAGACCTATTCTTCCTGCTACGATATTATCGTTATCATTCACTACATTAAGCAACAGAACATACTGAATAATGGTTAACTGTATAAAAATCAACAAAAACACGAGAATTTATCATAGAAGAAGATGAGCCAAGTAATTGATCAGATAACAATTTGTGTATCAAATGAACGTATAATTTTTATCATCAGTTTAATTTGTACAATTGACTCCCGAAAAATAAAATATAACGGAATTATCCATAGAATTTAACGATAGAATTTTTTATATTGTAATGTTTAATCGATTTACGGAGATATGTGATTATATTCGCGTGATTCATTATCAGAAAACATCATAAATTATTAAAAGAATGCATGATAACGTTCGAATAAATTATAATAAAATTTCTCTTCCTATTACAGAAAAATTGGAATACGTATAATCCAAATAATAATATAATATAAACATGAACTAATCATCATTAGGATATATAAATTTTAATTGTCATTAAATTCATCCAAAGCTTCTTTATTTCGTTATATTTTACCGTTAGATTTCAACCTTACACATTATTTAAATAAAGTACAAAATACAGATAGCATAAAGAAAAAGAAATGCAGCTGATAACAAAATATTTGTATTTTAGAATGCATGTTCTTCTTTTTCATCTTCTCTATCTTTTCTCAATATTTTTCTAAACAAATTCTATTTTGTACTCCACTATGTATAATTTTGATTACTATACAGAATTTTTGCGTTTATGTTTATCACGATGCTGACTTCTCAATTTTAATTGCATATGTTTACATTTGCGGTTATCAAGTTCTTCAGTTTAATAAACGATCCCAAACAAACGTATTCGCGAAACTCAAAGGAGAAAGAGATCGAAACTAATATTATACACTTACGATCCCGTTAGATCAGGGATATCGATGCTATGAAACGGTATTAATTAGTGATAAACGGTCGAGTTGTTTACTACTTTTTCTTTATCTCTAACAATATATTTGTTAGAAACATATGAAAACAGATAATCGTTACGGTGGATGAGAGGACAAGCAGAAGAGTATTTCTTTTAATGAATCTTATCAGCAAAACTGTGTATATATTTAGAAGATAACCGCGACACTTCACAGATATTTAAAACAATGTGAAGGAAAATGGGAAAGTAGTAAGCAGACGATCACTGACACGCAGTAATTGAAGTCAAGGCTGGAACGTTCGTAGACGACGATGCGTGTACCGTAGATACATGGAAAGACAAAACAAGCCATTTGATTTCGACATGATCGACCAATAGATGAAACATGAATAGGCGTTTGGTAATTAAAATCAACTGATTACATTCGAAATGATACGGACACGTTTCGAAATCGTGCCAAGAATCTGTTATTCGAAAAATAGATCATTGAGAGAGATAAAAGTTATCGGCGCGTTATCGTGCATTTCTGAAAGAATGTACAAAGAGTAACATCGTAAACAAATTAAATTTTTCTTTTCAGAATTTTGCAAAGACGTTGCAAAATCGTGAAATCTAGGATTTAAATGGTTTATTTATTGGGTTGTTAAGTTTTATATTGAAGATATAATTAAAACATTTTTAATATTTGTTAGATACATTCTCCTTCTTTAGAAATAGTCATTTAGTGCTGACCATTTGTTGTTAATTTCTCTTTTAAAGCATGTGAGGGAATCGATGTACATTTTTAAAGTATAACCAACACCAATTCTTTTTGTTGAAAATTAAATATCAATTGTATTCCAATCCTCTTTTTACATATTCTTCTTTTCATATTCTTTCTTTGTTAGGTAATGATGTCAATTTCATGGATAGAATAATTGCATAGTAAAATCAGAATGGTTCGAATTTAAAATTGTTATTTTTAATTACATAAATATAGAGTTAAAATACTTTAAAGAATCCCAAAGAATAATTTAAAATTACCTACATCTAGATATGTGTCAAACGTTAGAGAGTTATTTTTCAAACTTTGAGAAACAAAGCATTTGTTTTAAACTCATTACCATTAAATGTTACAAAAATTATTCATACGCGATAAACTATTAATCATTAATAGTTCTTTGTATTGATTGGTAGTCTGCTGATTTTTACAGAAACTCAAATTTTTGAGAATAGAATTAGACAAATGTAATTGATATCGAAAACGGTTTTCTATGACAAATATTCTAAAAAGCATTATACTTTGAGTACCTTATATATTTTTTCATATTGCATGCATTCTGTGCAAGTCTACACTCCCAAATTTTCCATAAACGCATAAAAATTCGCAGTCTATTGATAAGTGTCATGAATTTTATCAGTATCTTATACTAATTTTATTTATGTTAATATTACACTTATAATATAGTCATATTAATTTTATTATATCACAATTTTTAACATTCTTAAATAACATTAGTAAACATTACGTCTTCGGATTATAATATCAGGGAACACACATAAACAAGGTATTAATCTGTTATCATAAAATAGAGATCCTTGTCTTTACGTGTTTATTACGTAAAGCATGTTGTTTATTAAATAAACTTGCCACGGCTACTTTACCTTCGTCGCAAGTTATATTTTCCTCAAAACAACCACTGGTTATCTGGTGAATGACAAACGACTGCGTCCGTTAAACTATATAGTAGATTACTCCGTGTACGCGCTCAGTTAGAATAGTCTCACGGCAATCGCCGTCAGCTTCCGTCCACGCTTATGGATTAAACTAGTTCCAAGATCTGATTAGCGTATCAATTAACTAATCCGTCCACGCGGTGAAACATCTTAGAGTCTAGGAAGGTCGGCCTGTGGTTAAATACCTATATTCGATTACGTAAACAGCCAATAAACTCGTTCGTGTTTACGTCTAATTTACATTTGACCCAGTAGTCGTCATCCTGATTTACGCAGAGTGAACCGTGAACTATGATCGCTATAGAACGACACTGTTCCGTTGTTAGTTCGCAGATCGAAATTATTTAATAATTGTTTAATGATATAAATTAATTCTGTAATTAGTTTACAGCCATATGATATAGCTAAACATGACCGGGATCATCGTGATTTATATAAGATGACCTGGGAAATGTGATCGCTATAAAACGACACTGTTCTGTTGTTAGTTTGCAGATAGAAATCAATTAACAACAATAATTAATAATTGTGTGATGATATTCATTAATATCGATAATAAACAATTATTCAATAAAATTAATTACTTCTGTTGTTAATTCTTCAGCTGCGTAATATAGCCAAAAATGACCGCTGAAATAATTATAATTTCATTTCTTGATTAGCTTTTTAAGCTTCCGAATTGTCACCTTTGGTTTGTTACAGATAAATTTCTAGTCTTTTACGATACAATTTTTCTTCGTTTGAACTGAGAAAGTAATAAAAGGAACATCTTGATTGAAAAGATTCGTATTATTAGATTAATAATATAAGAATTATTATTTTGTACGTTAAACTATGAATATTATTATTTTCATATTATCAACGAAAAATATTTTGTATGCTCCGTTGCCGCACACTTTCCGATATCGTTGATGGATTAGCATTATCCGTTATTGACATTTGATCTTTCGCATTACATTCACAAACATTTGTTCCGTACCTTGGATACTTACTTAACGATGCATGCAGAGAGAAACGAGTTATCTGCAATCTTATTGCACGTATTTACTTTCCAAATTGTATTCGTTGACTACAAAAAGATGCAGATGATCTAAATTTACAATGAGTCTAATTTAAAAATTAAATTTACAATGAGTCTAACTTAGTTATTGCAAGAGTAATTGTACGTCGGTTTAATCGTGAAGAAAAAATTAAATTTTCAATAATAATTAATGTATGTAATATATAAATTTTTTAAACAGCTATAAAAAACAGGTTTCACAGAAAATAATTCCATGGAATCTCCTAAATCACGTGATGCATATTTTTGTAACATTATAATCGTTTAAACACGCTTAAGCTTTAAACTGAACGAGATTCTGTCGCGTATCAATTTTGTCAGATATTTGTCAGTTTATTTTGTAAATTGGTGTCTGAGACAGAATCTATCCATACGACGCGATAAAGCAGGGGAAAGAAATTTACAACTCAGATGTTATTTTCGATTGTGAAAAGAAAATATTTCTCCAAGATCAGTGATTCTGAATGCTTTCTGGTTAACTTACCATTCAATGTAACGCAGTTGTTTTATGCATTTATAATTATTGTTTATTCTTTAGAGATCATGTATGATAATAATGAACTACCAAAAGTGTATCGGCTTAGACGAAATATTAAAACTAATTGCAATAATTGCAGCGGAGACAACAAAAACTTTAATGTATTGGATTAATTCTAAACAAATTAATCTAGAACAATAATCATTTATTTGAATATTCACAGTCCAGTTTCTAAAATGACAGAAATAACTTACTTTCTCACAGAAAAATTTATTCTACAAGTTAGAATACCACCGAAAAGGTAAATAAAACAATTTCCACGTTAAAAAGTTTTTCATCAGACAGATTTTTAATAAACATCATGCAATTGAAAATTAGTGCATGATCTTTTCAATATTATTGCATATATTATCCTCTATTCCACGAACCCGCCGTGTGAAAAGATTTCATTTTCCGACTTTCCATTTTGATTCGAACTTTCGAATGTTTAAAGTGGTTGTAATAATCACTATTGGTATTGTGTACGATACGCCCTGTCAGGGAAGAAAGCAACGCGGAGACGAACAAGAGTTCCAGCCGGGGAAAGCAAACCGGCCACAAATTTGGACGAAATATGCGATGGAACCGGTGCTCCCATTGGAATTCGATGGAAGGGATACCTGTATAAATGGTATCCCCGCCGCTTTGTGTTATGGTGAACCAGTAGAGAGTGCGTTGATCCATCGTGTGATCCTTCTCAAGTCTCGTGTCCGACGATTTAATAGAATTCAATGAACGTCTAACGTCGCGAGAAATTGTCACGTAAATCAAAATTTCTGAGAAACAACGTTGGACCCTAATTAACTTTTCAATTCGTTACTATTGCGTATTTCCAATCGGGTTCTATCGCGAATTACTTCTTTGAGAAGCTGATATTCCCTTTAATTAAATTGAGCGAGTCGCTCGTATATTGCTTGCGGGGTTAACAATTTCGATATAATTAATCAATTCGACAAATATTGGAAATGTGTTCGAGCATTTTGGTGAAGTTCTGCGGGACTATGATCCTGAAAAATATGGCCGCCAATCGTGCTCCAAAATGGGAGGCCGTCAGCAGATGTTTTAGGTTAGTTGATTTATTACTCTCGTTCGTTGATGAATTGTGTGTTAATTACACATTATGATGAAATTACTCGAGAAATAGAGAATGGAAAATATATTTTCCAGTGAAGAAGAAGAACGTCGAGATTAATGTAAAAATTAATTTAAACGATCATTTACATAGTAAACAAGAACTAATAAAGACTTTAGAAAAAAAGAAATAAAGAGAGTAATTATTTAGTTCGTGTGATGAATAAACTGCAGATCTTTATACATTTACAGCTTATGTAAATGTCTGGAGAATAATGAAATATAAACTTCATTCAAATTTAAATTGAATATTATTCTAGTATTAGTTTCTTCAAGCACGTATCAGGAAGTGTAAATTTGCATGAAGATTAACAGACTAGTGGCAAATGACTAATATGAATGATTAATGATAATAATGATAACAAGAGGGTCACTAGACTTCAATTAAAAGATATGTTGTAAGCAAAGTCGTGCGATGTTATGTATTGTATAAAGCATGTACATATAAACAACTAATTTGTTCAATGATTTTTAGATATTCAGACGTTGAAGCTTGTACCATGGGAAGATTAAATGTTGCATATTTTCACTACAAGTTTTGTAAATTTATAACATTTACAATGATAAAAAGTTGCATTTGTATGGTATCTAACAGAACTTATTACTAAATTTAATAGATCCTTGAATAATTTGAATGCTATTAAATTTACGCATACAAATCTATATTTCTGTGAACGTGAATAATTTATTTGTAACTTATATTAAACTGCAAATATTTTTTACACTGTACAATCAAGTGAACATGTATGCCTTTCACTGATAGAAATTGAGGTATATGCGTTAATTAAAGTCTGAAAGGTAGTATTTGCATGTTTTTAACAAAATAAAATGCTCTAAATAAAATCAAATCAAAAGAACAGTGAAGCACGCAATCAGAAATAATTGGTGTTTTCTTAAATCACACCATCTCTGAAACATTTGCCGATCTGAAAGACTTTTTTTCAGAATTAGATTATCTTAACCGGTGCTTTTCAACGATCACGAAAATAGAAGTACAGAGAGTGATATTCTACGCGCTTGAATGTAGGTCAAGCCTTTGTTTTTCCGAATATTATTTTGGCTGTTTGTTAAAAGAATATTAATCGCAATAAGGATCTATCGAAAACAGTACTCAACAAATTATAATTTTTTTTTACATTTTTGACAAGTAACACGCTTTTCTTGTATTTTCTAGTGTTACAAATATGAGCTTTCTTGCATAATTCTTTCTTTTTCTTATACTTGTGATTTTTTAAAAAATCAATTCCAAGAAGATGCAAATTTTCAATTTTATATTATATTGTACTTTAAATGTGTATAAATAATGAAAGGTATAATATTGTTATGCTGAACCGCATTATTGATGACAGTGGCTCTCACATTGAGTATCACTGTTGGCGCCACACATTGTGATAAATTATTTCGTTTTCTGTATTGAAAACAATATGTAGTTTGTAACTTTTTCCAACATTTCTCGTACAAAAAATTTCACTTTATCGTAAAGATGTTAAGAACAAATTAAGAATAAATATTTCCAAAAATTGGTGCAATTTGGTTGTCTTCTTTACTTTATTATTCATACTATATTAACAATAAGGTATTGAAAATTAAAAGTGTTAGAAAAAGCAAATGTTTATTGAATACTTTAACAATTTTAATCACTCGAATTTAAGCAATGCTGTATTATACACTGAGCCAACTTTCGGACATAGCCCAAAATTCTATTTACATCTTTCATAATATTCATAAAATTATACGTTTTAAATGAAATAATGCTTAATTGTAACGTGCGAATTTCAAACATTTAAAACATTTGATTGTACGAGTACACGGTGACTTTCCTTTTCGATCATCGGTTACATGAGATCTGTGAATGAAAGCGAAACCGGGAAATTGTAAGATGTACCTCGTGAAATTTTCGGAAACAGTATTTTTATCGATTTCGTTCAATTTTCTGAGCGTTATTGAGAATGTTTTTCGCATCGGTTCATAATATACGTAATTTATAGTCACAATTTGTCATAACATTCAGTATAAAAACGCTCGTTTGACCACAGCCTTAATTGCAGCGTGTTGCAACAGAGAACCATTTGCTGATGTTCGAAAGCGATGTTCGCTTTGATCGTGAACCTTTATAATTATCATTAATCTTATATTCTTCGTTCACTACTTGTTATGAAACACTATGCGTGCTCCTTTCTCCCTTATTCATGGAAATACGAGGTCATGTGCATACGTTTCGATAAGCCTAAGGGTTAATGGAAATTCAATCGAAATTAGAACGCTCGATTTAAAGTCGATCTTCTCAGTGGTTTATTCATGAGGAAGCCTTAAAACTATTTTCCAAATATTCGATGCTGTGAGATACATTATAGCGAATAATTAAATTACAATCGTAAAATAAAATTTTTGTCCATTATAGAAAACCTATTAATGTAATGAATATCACAGTGATAATAGTTGGAATCGTTGGATATTGTTTGTTCTTGAATTTTGTACCAGAAAAAATTTTAATGTTTTTTAATCTCATGATTTGGGAATGTTCTAGTAATAAGTAAATTCAAGTTTCTAATAAAAATATTGTATAATATTTATAGAATGTTTTGTTCTGCTCAGAAAAAGTAAAATTGGTAGAAATAAAATGACTGTTACAAAAACTATAACTGGTGAGGAGAAAATAACGTAATGCTAAATGTAATACCAATATCCACCATTTAGAATTTTTGATACGGACGTTATCTTCTTTAAAGTCTACTTTAACGAGAAAAATGATTAATTCGTCTTTTGTAGTACCCTCCAGTGCAAGTGCTATTAACGAAACTATTAGTGTTATCTACATCTTGAGCCTTCGATAAGGCCATCATTTTTCCTTGTGTAAAACTCAATATTCCAAAAATAAGTATCGACGCTGCATTGCATCACGAAAACGGAAAATAATAAAACAGCAATACATCTCGCGATGTGAAAATAAACTTTGAAATATCCACGTAAAACTCGTCAGAATGTAGTTAACGTTACTGTAAATAATAATTAGATGTTAATATAATGCCTGTTTCGAACATTGTTGAGATAGGATATTTTCTATTTCGTTTTATCTTATCTACTTAATGCATTTAATTATTCATGATATAGATTTTCAAAATGTATGTGTAAGGAAATATATTTTTGCATCGTTTCTTTCTCCAAGACTGAAATTTAGAACGTTTCAATCGTCAGTAGTTAGTTAATTTCATTTCATATAATATTATTTTAATATGATAATTTCTCATATGATACTATACAATTATTCATTTAAATAATAAATCACTTTAAATCACCTAATATGTAGATTACAATACATAGGTACAATTTTATTCCAATAATCTGTACAAAAGGCAAATGTTATAACAGTGTTTTGTTCATTACTAATTTATTTACACGTAAAAACAACGATTCGTTGTATAATTAGAATTCTCGTATATTACTGTAACAAAAATAATCAGTAAATTTCCTATCATTCATTTGAAACTCTGTATGTAAATAGAACATTTACCGACCACTGTGAATAGTGACCTATAACGACCACTTTCACTCACGAAAAATACACTATACTATAATAATTATTATCATCGTAAACAAATAAATTACAAAACCATATCTAGCAATATCGAAAAAATCACATCTTTAAAATATATGTACAACAATCTATTTCAACGGTTCCACTGTATTTATACTTCTAACTTGGCCACCAAATCATTTTTCAACCTCGATTCATACTCAACGACTATATCACTTTGAAAACTCACACATCCGAAAATACAGTATATAAAATACTATAATACAATAAAATCAGAACAAACAAATTTTTCAAAAAGTATCCGTTCTTTAGTCTACACTAGGAAATTTATCAATTTCGAATATCTACATAATCACAATCGGGAATGAACAAACACGACCCGAACTTGCTTTGTTCCTACAAAACCACCATGTATCTGGGCAAATGAAATAATGATAAATCACAAAAAATTATCGCGTCGGAACTGATCGAGCACAAGTATCGTGTTAACTGGTCTTCCCCCGGTCAGCTGGTCGGAACAGAAACAAAAACGCTAAAAATATTCGTGGATGACCTCTGTAAGTATTTGAAACATTCGCACGCGTGCGTTAGAGTTTCGGTATCGGTTAAAGGCCTTAAGAGAATATTGTTCGAGCGTGTGGTGTTGCTCGTGGGCGACTGGCAGGGTGGCATACACGATCGGAGTGCACGCGGGGATCGCGTGCGTGCCGCGTGATGCTCAATGCGAGCTGCGTGATACGTGGGTGCACCTATCTTTCTGATGTACCGAGAATAAATCGGGAGAATCTCTTTTATGCTCGTGTGCTCGCTACATCTGTTTCACTGCATACGTGTCCGCCGCGAGAGCACTCTCGGTTGAGACTGATCCGATCACATCAAATGAAAAAGGATGGATTGAAACGATTATTCGTGTAAAATAGGAGGATAAAGTGTATTAAATTGATTGGAAAATTCTATCGATAAACTTCATTCGTACAAACCAAATGTGATTGTATCAGAAAGAATTGGAAGCGATTGCTGATATAAAATTAAGGGTGAAGTACATTAAATTAACCGAATAGTTTTGAAGATAAACTTTACTTGTACATTTGCAATTTTATTTGGAGATTTCCACTGAATAACAAAAATCCACAAAATACTTATTATTGAAAATGTCGTCAGTAAATGTTTCTTGTGATAAAGTACAATTTAAGTATTAAATTTCAAGCGAGTTTATAGCTAGGGCAGTTATTATTACAAATTTTTGTTACGTTTTCGAACAAAATACTGCGCGAAGATGATTCGGAAAGTTTCAGTAAAATGATTTTGCCTTCTACAATGAAGCACACAAAGAAAAATATACATTACATTAAAAATTAACTAATAAATAGCTCAGCTACAAACATTGATTCCTTTTCTTACAAAAGAATATGACAGAATTTCCCAGTTACAAAACAAAAGATTTCTAAGTTGACAGATCTCTTCTCTGCAATAAAACTGTATAAAAGTATATTCACCGCTGTATAAACATACATAGATACATTCACAAGTTACATAATATTTTCGTGTTTAATGTTGACGCAAGTAGAAGCAATTAACAATAAGACGGATATGATTTTTGAACGAAATTCCATTCTTGCTCCAATTTTTTCACGCGATTCAAAGTGTAACCCGAGGTCCCTCTATACCCTATATTTCTGCCGATGTCTTTTGTCCCGGCACGCGAAACATAATGCTTTATATCTCGGACGATTTCACGTCCACACAGTACTACATCTTTTTCATCGAAGAGTAACTCTTAAGAGTAGCTTTCACGCTTGTAGTCCACTTGAGAATAAACTCCTGCAAGTCATTCTTAACACATTGACTGCTGTGATTGTCACTAATGACCGACGCTTCTAAATTCCTTGAAAACCATTATAATATATAAGATAATTGATGTTGATCGATACAGCTACTTTGCCATTAATAATTTATTGGAAAAACAGAAAAATTCTAAGCATATGTTATGTCTATATTTCCTTTTAAGTATAATAGTTGATATTGAATTTGAATGAACTGAGTAATATATACATATATACCCTCCGATTAAATAAAATTGCATTCATATGCCTACCCCTAAATTATTTCGACTTTAATTACCTAACGAAACAATTTACAAACAAGAATCTTGCGATTCTAGGTGACGTGCGCTGTACACAATACTCCCTGTACAATAGTACAAAAGAAAAAGGTTGCATCCAACAAACAAAAATAAGATTACATAAAAAAATAAAATGTATTCACTTAGAGTTTCATTTTTAAGAAAATCGAATTTGATTTTTCTTGTATTATTGAAAGTAGCTAATTCCGAATAGGGTTGGTTAATCGAAAGAAAGTTATAACACATAAAAAAAATTAATCAAGAATGTAACATTATATTTTATCATATTTCCGTGTATCAATACAATTTCCAATTTTGAATTCGAAAACAAAATCCCAAATGATAAAATTGTATTCTTTCTTTTCCGCTTATTATTTCATGTAACGTTGCCACTTTTTCGCTGGTATCGGCGGAACGGAAACGTCCTATATAACTTCGGTAATGTCAATTAAAGATAAATGCACATTGGAAATTCGGATCAGAGAAATGTCTTACTTTCACCTCTGAATGAATACTCTTTGATAATACGGTTAGCTGCACAAACGAAGACATGTACTAGGTACTCTCAAAAAACCGCAGCACAATGTGCATCGAATAGTTGTTAGGCTGTAATTTAATTAACAATACGACATTCGAATACGATTTTAAAATTGAACGCGATCGGAATTAGAATTCTATGCATTCACAGTCAGGAGCAGAAAAAATAGAACACGCTGTTTACTTCGTCAATTTTTATTTAACACCTAACAAAAATAAAATTTATTATGTATATTAGATATATCGCTTTACATTATATTCATTCATATAATCCAATCGATTAAACTAAAATACTAGTCCACAATATAAATTTATCCGAAAAAATGTAAATATTTAAGAATGTTTAAGGAACGAAATGATAGGGCATGCGTTAGAAATTGTGTCTAAAAATTCGGATTAACCAAAAATTTACTATTTTCAACGTTTCGTTTAATATTCTGTGTTTCGTAGAGATTCTTTTAATTTTATTACGGAAATCCGTGAATTGTATCATATGTAATTACTTATCAACTATTACATTTGTGTTACAGCGTCACAATGTCGCGTACTATACTTAGGGACTCGCCAAATGCCGCCTTAGACAAGAGCTTGTTGAACAAGTACCTGTCTCTGCCGCAACCAGATGACAAAATTCAAGCAACGTATATTTGGATTGACGGTACCGGCGAAGGGCTGAGAAACAAGACCAGGACAGTCGAATTCATACCGAAACACCCATCAGGTTAGTCAATTTCTCAAAGTAAACGATCATTGTCCCAAAATCTCGATCGATCAACATTCGATCGTAACAGGGAAATATGGAGAATTATGGAAAATTTGGAAATGCATAATTGCACAACATGTACACGATACGAAAAATATATAAGGTAATTCTAGGGAAGACAAATATTTCGTTTATATTAAAAATAAATAAATAACATTTAGGTTTGTCAAATTCTGCTGACAATGTGTAGTGGCAGGTAATAATTTGTTTTGTTTGCTTGGCATTTGTTGTATCCTTGATTATGAAAGGATGTTTTATGGCTCCTTTTTATGTCCCTTTATGACCCTGTAATTCCAGATTAACGATAAATATCCGATACATAGTATCTCAGTCTGTAAAACCATTTATTCTATACGTAGATGGTACAAAAACGTTAAACGCGTTGTTCTGGAAACCATATTTTCTGGCGTGGATCACATAATATCTCAAGATCCACTTGTCTAAATATCTTGAAATCTGGAAAGTTAAAGAAAATCTTTAATATGCTAAAAACAGATGAAAAGCCTAAAATATTAAAACTTGTATAAATTAAATAAGTATAGTAATAATAAAATATAGTAATAGAATATAGTATAATAATAACAATAATAATAATAATAATACTAAAATATAATAATAGTATATAGTATGATAATAATAATAAAGAGAGAAAGAGGAGTGTGCAAAAGAGGAATGTGTACTGAAGAGAAAGAAGGGTGTGCAAGATCGAGCAGGATGATCAAGACACGACTAAGAATGCTCCAATTACCCACTGTAGAAACTCAACCCAGTTAATAAGGTGCTCATTCAATACTGCAGTCTTGTACCGCGCTACTGTACCGTAAATGATTGTGTTTATAAAGCTGCGTCCTCACTAAACCACCAACGAGCAACTTTTTATTATCGTTGTTACACGCAACTTGAAAAAGATACCTCTTGAAAAATAGGGAACACGGTGATATGTAGCGGTAGAAACAAATGCTCCTTTAACACTAGATTGTACCGAGCACTTAACGCTAGAACAGCCAAGCGTTTAACATGATTAACGTGTAGTCCTTACAAAAATCGTGACAATAGATTTTTTTTGGTTTCTTCATATACTGATTATAGTATTGAAGTGGAACTATTTAATTTTTAAATTATTCTAGATATTTAATGCTTGCAAGATATCAATATATATATAAAGCAAGAAAACTGAAAACCGTCATTTTGACATGTGCGGCAGCGCTAGTGTTACGTCGATTTCTTCAAATTTTTTTATCTATAAAAACTAACTTTGAAGTTAGAACTGTGCATTTATTAAAATCTCGATTGGCTTATATTTCAGTTTAGGCATTACTAAATCAGCTTCTTTTCTCAAACATCTCCATTACGATACTCATACACACGTATGTCCATATATCCGCTCATGCACACTGAAAACCACCAAACGATTAATTGAGATATGTTTTACAACGTAGGTACATAGCTATGAAAGCGACAGACTACTACTTCGGCTGACGTGCAAACCGAATATACATTATATAATACATATTAATTTACATTGCAACGTGATTAAAAACAGAAATCGTAGACTCGGTTTTTTGATTACCTTGCGTTTCTTTCCCGTCTTGGATCGATGGTCCGTCGGTTGTAATATGTATTCTTTTCTTACCTCTCAAACAAGCAAACCTTGACTCACGAATGCAATTCGAGCGACGGCTAAATAAGTTGCCCGATGAATGTTAATCAAATCTAAGGCTATGGATCCGCTAAAGAAGCGAACGGAAAAGTTTTTAGACGACAGCCTTTCTTAGTGCCGTTATGGGCAGAAGCAAAACATTTACACCGCCAATATTCAAAATCTGAAGAGTATAAAAAGAAAACGATAACATTGTCTTATCGTTTTATGATTGTTCCATCATTTTCCCTCAGTCGCGTCTGTTAAATATTGATACAGAGGCAAGTTGACACAAAGAAATTTTGTCGGTACTGAATTTGCGTAAGATGCACTTGTAAATATTGTTTTTAAAAACAGTCTGGATATATTATGTGAACTATTCGTTAGCTAGGAGGACTAAGTTCACGAAACTATAATTGAGAAAATCGATAAAATTGATTACAATATATGAAAATAAAATATTATTAAAATAGTAATAAAACGGTCTAACATTCAAAATTAAAATAATTGGAGGAAAAATGAATTCGTCACTTTGGCTTATGAACGATTTATATAAGCCTATATATTCTTATTTGATTTGACTTCACGTCGTATTGTTTGGAGGTACAATAACATTACAGTATCTCTGTAGAATTATTCTGGTACAATGTCAGCATGTGAGCCAAATTGATTCTTTGTGGCATGTTGACGCAGTATATTAACTAACTGTGACTTTGTAAACCAAATGAAATCAACAACTCTTCAAGCTATGAAGACACGGATTGCTGGTGTGTACGCAAAAATGCCATAAGGAATAAATGTTCTTACAGTAAAATGATCATTTTCAAATGGAATACAGCAATGTTCATGACCTAAAAGGTGTCACTTTGAAAACATTCTGTAAATAATACAAACAGAAACAAAAACTTTTATCATCTTCTCTACTGCGACTTTGAATCGACTCAAGAATACTCGAAAAAAGCATATTAGACTTTTCTTTGAATCTGCATTGAATGAAAAAAAAATATTATCTCATTTAAGGAATACAAAATGATCTACAAATAATCTTGAAAATTAAGCAAGAAACAAATTTTACTCGTATCATTAGAAAGTACATAAAAAATTATTGAAGAATGTTTCAAGTGTTCCTTATGCATATAAGAACTAGAACGTTGTTCATCAGATAAGTAATCAACTATTTTTTAAGAATACCACGAAATTTATAATCTAATCGTAACATTAAATTTCTAAATATAACATGAAACGTTCCAATTTATAACGTTTCGTCGCCCAAATGAAAACTGATATAATTGCTCTAAAACCGCATGAAATGTATGGTATGTAAATACATAACGTGTCAACTTCTTTGATCCAACGAAGTAGACACTTTCTTATAACAACAAAGCGCCGTTCAGCTGAAAGTCTAAGCCAAACCTAAAATATTCTTCAAAACAAAGTATTCCAGCGAAGACTATTAAGATTATTCCAGTATCAGAATAATCATTACCAACAAATGTTACCCGATGTTCCTTGGGTGGACGCATAATTTAAGGTCGAGCGGCGATGCCTTTCCATGCTCGGCTCGCGTACGCGCGTCCGTCACTGTCAAGAGGTTTCGTCTGTATTCATGAAATTCCGCATGCGAACGCTAGACCATTAACATTTGCAAAGCGTCGATTGCATAGAAATGTCCCTGAATATCACCGATTAAGAGTACACACAAGCCGGACGTAATTCGTACTTTATTATCGCGTCGTATCGCAAAACAAATGTGACTCGAGTCTAGCCGCACCAATTTCCGCGAACGTTTTGTAATTATGCTAAAACCGGAGGCGACGTGAATCACTGGGAGACACGCTATTGCAACCCGTTAGCTACAAGAGACTTCTTTGTTTCCAGAGCTACCGATTTGGACGTACGACGGAAGCTCAACGTACCAGGCGGACGGAGTGAACAGCGACATTTACCTATGCCCGGTGGCAATCTACAACGACCCGTTCCGCAGGGGGAACAACAAGCTGGTGCTATGCGACACCTATCACAGCGACAAGACCCCGACCAAATCCAACAAGCGGTACAAGTGTAACGAGGCTATGGAAGCTGCCAAAGATCATGATCCGTGGTTCGGCATCGAGCAGGAGTACACTTTCCTGGACTTCGACCTTCGGCCTTTAGGATGGCCGAAGAACGGTTACCCAGGACCCCAGGGACCATACTACTGCGGTGTAGGCGCGGACAAAGTGATCGGCCGGGAGATCGTCGAGGCCCACTATCGGGCTTGCATTTTCGCAGGCGTGAAGATTGCCGGGACGAACGCCGAAGTGATGCCGTCCCAGTGGGAGTTCCAAGTCGGGCCGTGCAGTGGCATATCAGCCGGCGACGACCTCTGGGTTGCTAGGTTCATTCTGCACCAGGTAGCGGAGGAGTACGGTGTGAACGTGACGCTGGACCCGAAACCCATGGAGGGCTCGTGGAACGGGGCCGGCGCGCACACCAACTTCTCGACTAAGGCGATGCGCATGGACAATGGAATCGCAGAGATCGAGAAAGCCATTGATAAGCTGAGCAAGCAACACCTTAGACACATCCAGGCATACGACCCGCGGGGAGGGAAGGATAACGAACGCAGGCTGACCGGCAAATGCGAGACCAGCAGCATACACGATTTCAGCGCTGGCGTGGCGCATCGCGGAGCCAGCATCCGTATACCGCGCGGCGTTGCTGAGGATAAAAAAGGGTACCTGGAGGACAGGAGACCCAGCAGCAACTGCGACCCATACTCAGTTTGCGAGGCCTTGGTCCGCACCTGCGTTCTGAACGAGTAAACGCGACATCGCTCGCTTCGATGTTACGGCGATCGAGGGAGAGCGGGTAACTCGTGGCTGATACAGCGTAACGGTAACCGTGCATCTTCGCCGAACGTGTTCTTTGCAAGTCGAAGGCCTGCTTGGTACAATTTAAATGGAATTTTAATAGATGAATTTGAGAGATCTGAAGGGAAACACCGTCGGACCTGTTCGTGGACCGATTACCTTCAAGGAAATGCCTTCTAGGAGGAGTTCATGTTTAGGAAAAATTGCGTCGCTGATCAACGGTATAGGTGATCAGTGTAGATGAACTATTCATAGGTAGTCTTGTGAAATAGGTAACGGATAAGGTTGGGGGAAAATAACGCGAAAATTTTTCATGGGAATTACTGTTCCAAGGGATAGATCGTTGTAGCAATTTATTCTGAAATATTGAAGTCTTTAATTCCTGAATTGCATCCTTAGAGATACCAGCGAAGTTATTTTTATTATTAAATTATAAATTTTACGTATTTATAGTATACGCATTCTTCACTCTTTAAAATAAACTATCGTTGGAGACAATAAGTTGTTCATTTCTGTCCCTTTAAATGTATATATAAAAACATGAATCTGTATGAATAACCACAGTTTCATTATTTGCATATGTATTAGTTTTCTCGATGCTTTCGGTTCTAGCTCGATTCGCATTGAATAACTATTTCTTACTTTTCCGAGATACATGTTTTCGGTCAATGGAAAATTCAATACTTCAGGCATGATTTGTTCACCGATCTCCATTCATTCGGTCGATCCAGTTTTTATCTATTGTTCTGAAATACTGTCGACGCATGGCGAGTTGGGCAACCTGTAATTCGTATTTTCTACTTTTAAACAGAATCCTAGTTGTTAAGTATCTATGTATCCGAAGATGTAGAAGGGAGGATTCAGTTGTAGAGTGTATATTATGCACGAAGTAGCGTCAACGCTTGTTACGCCTCTCCGTTTCATTTAACAACGTTACAGAAACCGTGACAATAAAGGTGAACATATGTCATTGCGAAGGCAAAATTAACAAATTGTGTTACTTTCTCGATTATCCTTGTGCTTGTTGAGGGGAAGAAAAAAGAGGCAGCACATGCATAATATAAACCCGCCAGATTTCGACCAGCTGTATTCCTCGAAGTGATCAACCCGAAAATATAATGAGCTCTAGTTTCAGCCTCTGGTTTTAGCTAATTGTAAGTTATCAGGCTGACAGAAAACGGACATCATTTGCGAAAGTTGCAACTTATTAGGATAAATGAATTCTTTTAGCGGAAAATGTATATCACTCGAATTGAGCTGCTTTAGATATTCAATTTATAACGCTACGAAGTCTGTTTCCAACCCATGGCATTGTTCGGACGTGTGTTTAAAAAGACATAGACATACAGAAATACAGCTGTTTGTACGATAAATATTTCTAATCTTAATCTGTATGATTAATGTTGCTGTCGATCACTGATATTGCAAAAAGAAATTGTTACTGGAAGTGACGACATTGCGCTTTGTGAAATTGCGAAGGAACTCGAGATAGATTATGCCACAGGTTTAAATAATGTGTACGAGTTTAGAATGGTCCCAGAACTGAATGTACGAGTGCCACACGCTGTCGAAAAAATTATACCACGTTCCCATGAACCCAATAAGATTATAAGACACGATAATGCCCGGGTATGTAAATACACGCCTTCTGCGAAACTTTGCTTCATTGAAGAAAACGTGCAGGATATAATAATAGATCGTAAAAAGGTTGTCGGAATTTCGAAAGCAAAGCAAAGGCGTCCCCCTTTGCCGCAATTATCATTTGTGTAATTGCTTGCGGACACTAATCCGTGAATGTTACGAGGCGATCCTGTGGTCGCACTCCGATCAGTCGTGTTAAAATGGTATATACACGGTGTAAAAAAAAAATTAAACGAAAGAAAAGTCGATGTAGCATGTACATGGTGTATTTTCATATTTGTATGGTATATTTTCATATTTGTATTTTCTACGCTGACTTCTGTAATTGTAATTATATATCATGACCATTGTTGACGATTTGTTGGTAGTGGTTATTGTTGTTGTTATAATGATAATACTATAATAATAATAGAAATAATAGTATAATAATAAAAAGAATAATAGTAATAATAATAATAGTAATACTGATAATAATAATAATGATAATAACAACAGTAATAATAATTATAATAATAATAATAAAAAGCGATGCTTTTGATGAAGGAAATACTATTCTCTTATTAGTACGAAACATTCATTTTGTTATATTCTAAAATAAAGACTTCTACAAACACTGACTCATTTTTTTATTATTTATTTATTACCTAGCGTTGTATCAACCACATGTACTTATTGTACTCAGTTTTTTGTTGATTCTGTGTCCTCTATGTTTTCATTATCTTTAATCGCTATCTTTAAGTTTCCCTTCTGCAATAGATGGTAATATACTCTACTGTTAGGTGGATTTTATATATTTCGCAGGTTCGAGATCTTCTTTGTTGAACTGATATCAGTAGGTAAATTCTGTATGGCTTGTTATGACTCTCGAGTTTTATTTTTTATTTGTTGTAGTTTATTATTCATATTTACAATGCATAGTTTACTTACAGTGAAACCAAATCCAATTTATAAGTCTTCGAGCTAAAATACTGGGTGTGTGCAACAATTTTGATGGGTTTTTCTATGAATAAAATGCATTGTAAACATTGTTTTACCAAGAATAATTTATTTAATCGACTATTATTAAAATTAATTTTATTATGAATTGGGTAATTTACACTTTTAGTAAAAATCATTGTATTTAAATTTGGGAAACCATGTTTCGCGGGTTGGGATCGACTTACAGATTACAAACACGCTATAATAAACCATACATACACATATACATATATACACTCACATATCCTAAGCACACATGAGACAAGGTGTACTTAACAATGATCATTTTTAATTATTTTTTGAAAGGCAATCTTTGTATCAAATCAACTATCCCTTAAAATAGTGTAACTTTATCGTAAGAAATGTTTTCATAAAAAATAAAAATAACATATGTATGTATTGTTTGTACATAATAATTATGATTTTATAATCAAACATAACACTGTGGAACAAATTTTGACCTATGTCAGTTTTTGCAATAGCCACTATGTAATTCTTATAGAGTTCCTTACCCTAAATACGAATCCGAAAACCAAATTGCTGGGTCAGGTCCAGTTTTCGAAAAAACTGGGATTTTGTAAAAACGGTCGAATTTTTCAGAAAACCAAGTGTTACGTGAAAACTAAAAACGATAGGCAGTTAAAATTTGTCGCAAAAAATAAAGAAGATTTGCCCGATCACGTAGCTATAAAAATGTTGAATTTTGCATATCATTAAATGTTTGAAAACGGTGATCAAAGTTTAAAAAAAGATACTTTTTATGCACTTCTGTTACATTTCTACGAAAAGTGGGTTGGCCAGCACGAATTTGCTGTGCACCATTGGATTCTGCAGACATTTCTGAAGAGGAACCCCCCGTGGGAAGCGTGATATCGGGTTTTCTTTGGTACAGGGTAAAAAAATGTCCGCGAACGGAACTTTCGCGCCACACGGCCATCGCTCGCCGGCCACAGCTATGCAGGGCCGTGACTACGCGCTGTATGTAAAAAGTACCTTTTTTTAAACTTTGATCACCGTTTTCAAACATTTAATGATATGCAAAATTCAACATTTTTATAGCTACGTGATCGGACAAATCTTCTTTATTTTTTGCGACAAATTTTAACTGCCTATCGTTTTTAGTTTTCACGTAGCACTTGGTTTCCTGAAAAATTCGACCGTTTTTACAAAATCCGAGTTTTTTCGAAAACTGGACCTGACCCAGCAATTTGGTTTTCGGATTCGTATTTAGGGTAAGGAACTCTATAAGAATTACATAGTGGCTATTGCAAAAACTGACATAGGTCAAAATTTGTTCCACAGTGTAATTACGCATTGTTTCTACATCATAATTACGATTTCATCATCGAGAATCCATCAGAACTTTTGCACTCACCTAATAAATAAATGAAAAGAAAATGCAAAAAAGCTGTGCGCTTCTTGAATTATCTATAGTTCGATACTTAAAAAATCAGTGTAGGGTTTTTAAATTTGATTTGTAAGAGACCTGTCTAATTTTTTCCCCTCGAAAAACCAAAAAGGTGTAAACCTCGATCAGTCGTTTCTTCTTCTTCTTCCTTAATTTCAGGATCTGCACGAGTCAGGGCATAAATAGGGTCATTATCCTATAACTTTGTAAGTGGTTAGATAACGAGAAGAAGGAGCCACAGTTAACTCACGGACCACTAATTCGACACTCCTATCTACAAAGTCGACAAAGGTGACGAAATTCGGATTTATACGAATAAATCCTAAAACTAAACACCAATCGTCTGTTTGTGTTTTTCAAATAACCCAAACTAACAGAAGATATCCGATCTCTATGTTTTCAAAAAGAAAAAACTGATGAATTTTTTTCTTTGGTTTTATTCGTAGTCTTGCTAATGTGGCTTTAAAAATCAAAAAGAGAGTTAATTGTGGTTAGTACAGAACCAAAAGTTATTAGTGAAATTCGGAAAAACAAAGTGAAAAAATGGATAATTCTGCATCGTGATAATGCACACCCTTACATAGTAACTCGAATGATCAATTACTTGAGGCATCGAAACATCAAATTATTGTCTCATTGTTCTTATAACCCTGATACTTGTTCCTTGTTAATTAGTTGAAGAATATAATGCATGATCAGCATTTTACTATTGAAGAAATTGTTAAAACACATAAATCGCCTGTTTTGGCTATATCTCCTACTGAATGGAAAATGTATAAATGTTAAGGGAAAATATTCTGAAAAACAATAAAACCATCTGTTCCAATTTTTCTGTGTTTTTTCTCATACTGTTATCAAAATTTTGTAGCAAGACTTGTATATATTTTTTTCCAAATTTTAGATATAATTTGTACTACCCTTAATGTAAGTAAATCTAAACAATTTGTACTTTCAACTGTTTAGATAATCATTGTTTCAATTTAATTAAATTTAATGAAACGATTAGATTATAGTCAATGCGAAAAATAAAAATAATTTGTTAATACACTTGTGACTGTAGTATAGCTTTTTGTAATAACATACAAAAAGTTTCAGTAACTTCACGACATAAAATATCGGCAGACTTATCTCCTAATGCTGCTTGAGCAGAATTAACTCTACCAAGTTGTAACAATAAACCTGTAGTATCTTCGGCTAATGGTGGAAAAGCTAAACATATTCGTATTAAAGCTGGTAGTACGGGCATAAATAAAATTACACGATCTTTTGCAGATAATACTCCTAAAAGTGTTACCAAAGTATTAATTGCTAAACGAGAAACACTCAAAGCCTTTGGTAAAGCGTATTGAATTGCAAGATGTGATGCCAAATCTACGGCAAATATTTGCTTCTCTGGTTCTGGTTGTGATAACAATTCAGGAATCCAATCAAGACATATATGCATGGATGGAATACCAGTAACTGTGATAGGTAACAATTCTCTTGGATAACCCTGTAATATAAAGACAATATTAATTTTACCAATAAGATAGCAATAGTATAAAAATTAATTTTTACTTTCCAAAACTAATTATAAATAATAACTATACTTTGAAGTTTCCGCATATATAAAAAGTCATGATTATCTTTCTCCGACCAAAATAAAGAATTGAAAGTTAATATAAAATATTTTTTTTTATAAACTATTGGGTACTTTAATATTATTTTAATTCAGCTGGAAAGTATTTTTGATTTCTTCACTTGCCTACAACCTCTTAGATTATGTTTAACTTTCTTAGATTGGAAATTTATAAAAATACCAAATTTATGAAATTTACATGAGTATTCATATTAATAACATAAATCTAATTATACGACATTTCTGTTTAATTAACATACTTGAAAGTGAACCAATTTGGCCAGTGATGGGTCTGCTATAAACACTTGATGCAAATATGAACAAATGATACTCTGAACTTCTCTTAAGGACCACATTTGTCCAGGAGTTTCTCTGTCTTCTTTTGTTTCTAAACATGCCTCTAATAATATTTGAACAGCTGCACTCTCTTGACCTGCGACTAACGCTGTTCTTAAATCTTCTCTTTCAGTATCATTTGATAACTGACCAATTTTTTCAGTTAATGGTTTGTCTTGTATATGTCTAGATAATTGAGATCGAGACGCTGCTAATGCAGCTTGCAAAATTCTGAAAAGGAATTTATTATAAAGTAATATTTTTTAATTTTAAATAAACCTGAAATTTATAAAAATTTACCTTATAATAATAGATAAAATTGGTGCACATCTAAACACTCTTGTGTCACATCTCAGTACTTGTAGGGGATCTAAGACAATATTTTCTTGTGTTAAGAATACATTCTTTATAATAGAATTTTCTATCAATAGAGCATTTATTGATAACACCCATAAACATCTTGGAAGAACTGTATTTAATCTGAGCCACACTTGTTTGTATAGTTCTAAAAAGTTAAATTAATTTGAACAGTAATTTAAACAGTATTTCATAATAATCATTACAATTGATGAAAAAAATATATGCAATATCCTAACATTAGCATTTGGTATAGTTATTTGATTACTATTTATATACTAATAAACAATACAGATATATACATATTATCATGATAATAAAGGTATTAAAATAATTGGTAAGTAAATAAAGTCTTACCTTGAATATACCTAGGAACTCCCTGATTTAAAATAGCCTTAAAATAATAAATTATAACTTCAGCATGAGGCCAGATATCAATTGGTTTTGTTGACATTAACTGTCTTAACAATCTTCCTGTTCTTGAAGGACATGTTTGAATATGTGAAAATGTTTCAATAATCATGATATCGGTAATTTTTACATTCTCATAATTTGTAACTGTAGAATCTATATTAATCATCTCATTGTCGAGCCAATCATCTACTAATGAAAGATGAGGAAAATGAGTAGCCAGTAGTCTAAGGAGAGGAGAAAATAGACCAGCATAATTCATTTGATCTCTTTGAACCAATTGAAGTAGGTATTTTATTGGTAACTCAGATAGAAATTCAGTTGAGTATGATTTAACTTTTCTATCTTGTGATACGAATGTATGCATATTAGATAATCTGACATCTTCATATAGTAATAAGTAATACAACAGTAATAACTGTGATGTGAGAGAAGGTTTTGAAACATCGATATCTGCATTATCTACCTCGCATTGAGGAGCATTAATTCCTTTTTTAAAATCAAAATTTGCACCAAAAACACTATTTTGGAATACCTTTGTAATTTCATCCTCAGTAATTGGTTTGTTCGTGTGTTCCGATGTTTTATTGTTTGTTAGTACAATGGAATTTACATATACTTCAACTAAAGCAGGAAGAACTGGATGCAGTGGAGGCACACTATTACAAATCTGTTTATAAATCCAATTTTTTATTGGTACTCTGTGTTTTGCAAATGCTCGTGATTTCAACAGTTGATGAATACAGTGTACAGGTAAAAATCCTGGAATGTTTGCATTTAAATTTGCTGTTACAGGCACCTTAACTGCATGAGCTGTAACAACTTGCTCGGTAAATATTTCTTGCATAAAAATTTGCTTCATTCTAGTCAAATTATTTGGTCTAATTGGTATTTTCATCCCTAAAGTTGCACACACAAGTTCACAAATAGCTGATAACTGATTGCTATGAAAATGTATAGCCATTAACAGTAACATTTCTCCAAAACTTGCTGTTACACCACTAGCACTTTCAAAATAAGCTTCTTCACGGACAAGCCACTGCACCCATTCTATACTACGCTTCTCAAGATTGTGATGTCCTATTAATGATGAACATGCAATAAGCATACAAAGACCTAAAGAAACGAATCTTACACCAGCAGGAGATGGAGGAGGATGAGATGTTAACAATTGAACGATCATTGCTACCTCATCATCTTGAAATTTAATACCTCCAATACCTCTTAACGCACAATAAAGGCGCAATAATGCGCTAGCTTGAACAACTTGACTTTCTGCTAATTGACCTGCATTTTGTGATGTAATCACTTGTAAACGTTTTAGTAGTTCCTCTCTTAAAGATTGCAATGCTGTATGTGATTCCCATTTACGTTTTTGGCCATTTCTAATAAACATTGCAATCCATGTTCTTACTTGTTGATCGCTACCAAGTAATAATCCTGATACAAATGCAACTATATCACTTTCTGATCCATCGTTATTTGTATTGTCATGATCCAGACTTAATGTAATTGCTAAGGCAGGCATTCTACATAGTTCTACACACTTTGCTCTTATTGCCAAGGCTTGACTAGGGTTCATTTGACACAACATTGATAAAGCCATTGTTCTAATCCGACCTAACGTTGATTCTTCTTGTCTTTCTCCATTGGCAATTAAATGCGCACATACTTCAGTGAAACTATCAGGAATATTAGCAACTATCCAGCAAATTATTTCTGGACCATGTTTAACATGTAATAATGTTTCTGCGATATCTAAAATAGATAATAATGTTGGCAACTCTGCAAGTGCAATGCAAATCACATAACTAATCTCTTCCATGTACACTGCATTATCAAATAAATCAGATTGCTTGATTTGAAATTCTTGATTCTTTTGTAATTCCTGTACTTGAGATGCTATATATAACAATTCGCTTAGAACTAGTCTTATTCGTCTTGTAGACTCACTACGTTCAAATTCCAAAGCAAGCCCGCTTTGTAATGATTGAGCGAGTACACTATCTCTTTGCAAGCTACCTAATTTTTGCCTGAAAATATAATTTATTTAATTTATAATAAATGAACAACAATTGTAAACATATAACAGTAAAACTAACCTCAATTGCTGTTCTTTCCGAACGTCAGTTTCCAATGCATGAAAATCTATTGAAAGCAATGCAATTATTGAGTTTACCGACTCAATACCAGATAAAATTGTTAAAACTTGCTTTCTTTCTTCAACACAGTCTCTTGTTATGTCTAAAGGAGAAATAAGACTCATACGAACCAAACATGGTAAAATTGGTCGAATTTCTTTATGAGAACATATTGATAATTCCTGTATATCCACATTTTGTATAGCAGTAAAAATTCGTGGTGTTACACACGTGTTAACTTGCATGATTGTCAATTACTTTTTGTTATTTCTTCAAATCACATGTATATATCCAACGTAAACTCAAACATTTCTTTATATAAAATTTAAAACATTCTTAATTACACTGTCTTTACATAAACGAAAAATTCCATGACTTGTAAAGAAAATATTTTTAAACATTTTCTATGGTATTACTAATAAAACGTTACATCATCGCAACCTTCTGTAAATACACCATCAACCACAATACTTGTCATTAAACTCTTACTCTCTGAAGATAGTTGCATAAAACAGAAATCACATTTGTGACACGAAATGTTATAGTGCAAATCAAGAGTATCGAATTGCCTTCCCTGAAACTAGTGACTGTCGATCAACGATTCCACTACTTTACTCTAAATATGCAGAGGGTAACTCTCTCTATGAGGTAAAGACCCTAGAGAGCTTGCAAACTCCTAATTCAACATCCCTGGTTTAGGCAAAAGGAATTAAAAAAAATCATTTTATTATTTTTTATAAAAATTATTTATGTAAAGTTGTTTGAATTTATTTATAAATATGAAACTCAATTTAAAAAAAAATATACAAAAAATTATTGTTTTGAATTTAATATTTTTTGTGATATAATTTGTTCTCACCGCACGCGACAAATAATCTTTTCCTCTGCTGCTAAGTTGTACAATACTAAAGCATATCGAAGCTTATATTTTTTGTGTCATATTCAATTTTTTCTCAGTTAAAATTTTTCCACGAAGTTTTAGTTGTTTTACTAAACGCTAATATCCGGTGTTGGGTACCCTTCGGCATTAGAGGGATTCCCCTAATATGCTAGAATTTTCTATTCGGATTAGCCGCAATAAATAAAAACTTTTAAGTCATTTTTCATAAACTTCTATAGATTTAACAGTTTAAAATAATTTGTATTAATACAGCACGTTCTAAAAACTATTAATTCTACGAAAATACAATAATAAAAATCTTTTATTTAATATTTAGACAAAAGTATCCTTACCATAAAAAAAGCATTCTAAATGGTTTCTTGGCAGTACCAATGTACCAGTACACTTTTATATAAAAACTATTTTCATCTTTTATTTATTGTAATTTATTTTATATACAATTAATTTTTTAAAAAATATTAATGTAACTAATTTTAATTGTAGTTTTTCATGCATCATTATTAGAAAGAAAAATTTTGTTAAAGAATACATAAAATTTGATTAAATGAAAAGTGTAGGAGAATTAAAAAAATATTTTTTACAAATAAAATAATTTAAAAAATGTAGTAATGGCTTCCCCACCAATAAAGTCGTGGAGGTAACCCTTTACTTTAAATATCATCCCTGGTGGGGATCGAACCCACGACCTTTGGATTAGAAGTCCAACGCGCTATCCTCTGCGCCACAGGGACTTGTTATACTGATGTATCTTATAGTCAATATATAAATAGAAATATATATTTTTCCAATGTCGTTTATCTATATAATAGTTTAGACAAACTATAGCGTATTACAAAAAAAAAATTTTTTAAACGCAGAGATTGAAATTTGAAAAATATATCAATCTATAATCAAATTATAACATTAAATAAAATATTTCTAAACTAAGTATTATGTAAATAGTAATTTTTATCATGATTAAATTTTGCTTTGTTTCACATACATTTATTATAAAACTATCTATACATTATATAAAAAAAGGAACATATTTAAACGTGTGCGTATTAAAAAAATTGTATATTAAAAATATATTTCATTATTGTAAATATGCAAATATTGAATTTTTGAAAGAGTGATAATTCAACTTAATTTTTACTAATTACTTTAGTTTAATATAATAAACATCAATAATCTTCTTACAGAATGTAGGATGTGAATATAAAGTTAATTTTTAAATTCACAAACATGAATTATTATGTCCAACATAACAATCGTATAGCTCTGTGTTGCGACTAACGTAGTCAACATAATCAACTCAGAGTGGAGTCGTCTATACATATGATGCCTATCCTGTTTGCGATTAACGTTTTCGTCTAACTAAACATTTGTTGCAAATAATACACAATGGAGTAAACTGCTGTAGGAAGTATCCAGTCTAAAATTACGGTTCAAATGAAATAATGGACTGCGAACGAAATTCGATAAAATAAAGGGGTACATATTAAATGCAAAAAAAAACAGAGTGAAAATTAAGAAGTGTTC